GGTACTATTATTATTATTATTATTATTATTATTAGTAGTATTTGATGCAATCATATTTTTTAACAGTACTGAAGTACGTTTATGCTAATCCTAAAAATGTGGTTAGTACACAAAACTGACTACAATATATTCACTTGTCACAATAGCACTGTACCTTTTTTTTCTAACACTGCCTGATCATCTAACATCTGACCTTTTTTCCACTTTTTGGTGAAACAGCTGAAGCACAGCCCGCTGTTTTTTTTCAAAGAGCAACAATAAGTCAGATTCTATCAGCTATATTTTAGCTTATCTTTATTACATAAAAACATGTTAACATGCAGTAAATTTCCTTTTAGCTGGTATATAGTCTGGTTTTCTCTCTTGGCGTGGGTATGTTACACTAAGCCCTACAGGTTCACAATGACATGATGGATCTTAATAACAGACAACTTGTGCATCTGTCTGCACAGATTTATTTAAGAAGTGTGATACTCTGAATCTCCCATTCCTTAGCACTGGTCTTGACATAAACTGCCATGTTGCAGAATTACAAAACTTCATGCAGTTTGTAGAACCCAACAGTTTTGATTCAACTAAAGAAGTCACAGACGATTTTATCTTGGACTTTACTCTTCTTTCAATCAATTTTTTCAGTATTGCTCTGGCTCTATTTTCAGCTGTGTACCAAAGACACCTTCTTGCAGTGCATTGGACCCAATTTATCACCTGTAATGAACATTTTGCAGCTTAGTTTTAATAAAATTCAGCAGTATTTTTGTGAATTGCATTTGCTGCAAAACTGCATAAACTAAATTCATGATCTCTGATTAAAAATCACAGTTTTCTTTGCATAATGTTGAATCAAATCATGGTTTATAAATATTTAGACATCTGGTTGCTTCAAGGTTACATTTCTGCAAAAGAAGCAAACATGTTTTTGCAAATGAAGTTAAAAATATGTTCATATCACTGATGGTATTTCAGTAGTTTACCATGTAGTAAGAGTTGCACCATAATTTTATTACTGCTGAAGTTTTTAATACTTTTACTTTTATCTTTTGCGCTGTTTTATTTAACCTTGCTTTTACAGACATTCGCTTCAAGCAAAATCAAAGCATAATTGGCAGAAAAGCAAGAAAAGAGACACAGGGAGATCGGAAATTGAGAGAAGGACCTCTAGAGCTGGGCTGATGGCATCAACAGGCCTCCAGCTTCTGGGCCTTTGCCTGTCTCTTCTGGGCTGGCTGGGTGGGACCCTGGGCTGTGTGGTCCCACTGTGGCGAGTCACTGCCTTCATTGGAAACAATATTGTGACAGCACAGACTATTTGGGAGGGGCTGTGGATGAACTGCATTGTCCAGAGCACTGGACAAATCCAATGCAAGGTGTATGACTCAATGTTGGCCCTACCGCATGACCTGCAGGCAGCCCGCGCACTCTCTGTAGTGTCTGTGCTGCTGTGTGCCATTGCACTAGCACTAGGTGTGGTTGGGGTGAAGTGCACAAAGTGTGTAGGGCAGCAGGCCCTGAAAGCACGGATCAGCCTGTTTGCAGGGAGCCTCTTTGCTTTTGCTGGGCTCCTCTACTTCATTCCTGTCTGCTGGACTGCACATTCCATCATCAGGGATTTCTACAACCCTCTGGTTCCTGCCCCACGGAAGAGGGAGCTTGGTCCTGCGCTGTATCTGGGGTGGGGGGCCGCTGGGCTCCTGGTGCTGGGGGGAGCCCTGCTCGGCGCTGGGTCCAGTACCCCTGCAGCCCCTTCCTCGCCTAGTTACAGCGGAAGCAGCCGGCAAAGCAGTCCCCGGAATGCCCCCACACTGCCTGCCGGTCAGGTGAAGGGCTATGTATGACTGCTCCTTCGACTGACGACCAGATGAATAAAAGAAACACATTCAGGTGTATTGAGCTGTAGTACTGCCCCTAATGCCTAACTTATTAAATAATTTTATATACAGTAAAATTCTTTATTTGTGCATAAACTGTACCTTTAAAAGTACAGATGTGTTTATGGAAATACAACTCATTTAATTATTTTAAAGTAAAGTAGTATAGTGTTTTAACCTTCTAAAATGTAAAAACTAAAAAACAGAATATGTTTTCATGGCATTTTATTGTTGAGTGTTACTGTATCTCCATACTGTACATAACTAAAAATATGAACACATGGTTATCTTGTGGTGACTGCGAGTTTATTAATTATGCCAATGTTTGTGTTCTTGTTGCAATATTGATGAATGAATATAGAATTTTTGAAAGAATGAATAATCAGATTGTTTGCCCAAGATCTCTTTTTGTGTTTATCTCAACCAGGTTCAGGAGCTGCCTGGCAAGGCCTGAGCATCCCTGTGTTGAGCTGTGAAAAGCACAGTGAACAATTATGTGTCTGTGCTCACCCAGCATTTTGCCCTTGGTTCTTATTAGTACATCTCAGCTGTAAATCAGGGCATTGTTTGTCATCCTACATGCCTAATACTATTCACTACTGTACAACCCCAGTAAAACACATAGATCACTGATGGGTCTTCACAGTACTCACTGTTCTGCTTGGGTTTAGTTTGTATCAGTCGTCACACACAGGGACAGATGTTTAAAGATTTCGGCATGCATTGTTGCCTTTCTGTGCTTGTTTAAGTCTTTATTATCTATACTGTATGTGAATCTTGTTCTATGTGTGTATCCCTCCAAATGTAGGAGTTGGGTCAGCGTGGGCAGTATTAAAGGAGATGTAATTAGTTGATGTTTATTAATGAGAAATTGCTGAGATGTCTTGAATTCCAAATTCATTTTCTCCTATCATAGGCCTTTCTGTCCATTTATCTAACCATGTCAAATGGATGGCTCATTTCAGTTTCTCTCTGCTTTTCTGCCTTTGTAGTATGAAATATGGTTTGTTGTCAGGAGAGTACAAATAGTACTCTAGTAAGTAGTACAGTATAAAACACAAAAAGACAATTAATTTAACACCCCTATTTCTCCTTCTTTGTCCCAGGTGTGACAGACTGGCACAGAGATGTGCAGGATCTGACAATATCAGGCTAACCCTGAGTATTATTGAGAGAGTCATGTTTACCATCTGAATAAGGACACATAAATTAAAGTAGTTCAAGTAGGTAGCTGCATCAGCATGTATAGGCTATAAAGGAACAAGTAAAGGTTTATTCCATGCTAAAAAGAGAAGAAATGTACATTATCATTATGTAGTTTTAGTCTCTGTGGTGGGGGAGTCCAGGCCCATCCTGCAGGTTTGACAAAAGGCTTTTAAACAGAAATGAAAGTTATTTTTGTTTTACCCAAAACTAAAAATGGACTTTTGTGATATAAACTCTTTTAAGATAAAATATTGCCTATTCTAAATAATGTATTGGTCCAATGAAAATGAATATATATATAGCTCTGCAGACTGGACTAGGACTCTACTGTGGACACCTTCTAAATTATGATGAGTGCAGGCAATGCTATCGAGACAGTTCAGGAACATCCATGTGCACTTTAGTTTAAAATCAATGGTAATAATCCAAGGTAAGAATTAATCTGTGCATTGAAAATGTAAATATATAATACCGTATCCACTCATCGTCTAACTGCTTTATTCCAGCAAGCAATAGTCACCAGGCTGCATACACACTGGATAGGAAGCTAGTACACTGCAGGGACACTCAGACACAAACACACCCTAAGCGCCAGTTTCCCCAGAAGTCAGTTAACCTACTGTACTTGCATGTCTTTGGACTGTGGGAGGAAACCCATGTGAACATGGGAAAAACATACAAACTCCACTCAGACAGCACCCCAGCATTTGAACCCGGGGTCACAGTACTGTGAGACCGCAATGCTAACCTCTATGCCACCATGCTACCTAAGACACTATATACAGTATACTGTAATAATAGTAATTAATATATTGTTGTATGTTGAATGGGTAAATCTGTATAGATTATGTCATAGGAATTTAACTGCATTTCGTAAATATATATTATTAACAAGGGTTGAACAATGAGAAAACACATATAGCTGACTCAGGCTGCCTATTACAGTGTATGTCTACTGGGCTAGGCAGTCTGCAAAGCTCAGGTTAAGGTGGGGGGTTGTTTAGTTTATTCTCTCCAATGACTCAGTAATCAGAACTCTAAACCTAGAAGGACAGAGCATTGGGATGTCCTGATATGACCAGTGGCATTGGTATAAGATGCAGAAAATGGTTATTTACTTTAGCTTCATATACTGAACTTCTTCCCCTGGAGAGCGAAGAAGAAGTATATCAGGACCCCTGTGGAAGATGCAAAGACAAGGAAATAAATAAAATTTGAGGTAAGCGTTTGGTCTCACTTATTTGTATGGGCGTCAGGAGCTGCCCATGGGGGGGGGGGGGGGGGGTACTGTCACACCCTCTGCAGCCAGAGGGCGCTCCTACTCTGTCCTGTCCCTAGTTTCCTGTGCTTTACCGTCCTTCCGGTGTCTCTCTCTCTCTGGGGCTATATATTTCTGGGTCACTTACTCTGTTTCGCTCAGCATTGATGTTCGGATGTCCTGAGATCCGCCTGGCACTAGGTCGCCGCTCCGTCCGTGGCCTGAGGGCACAGGTTTCCTTACAGCACTCCAGAACTCTTTGCACTGCTGAGCCTGGGCTAACTCCCCATTTCGCATACAGTAGGGTGTTTTTCGCTCTCCTGCCTCTCCACGGTTCGTCCCTTTCGACATCTGTGACAAGCTGCAAGATTTCATGGAAAAAGAACATGTGTTTATAATTAATTTGTTATTAATAATTGATAGATATCACATTCACAAAAATGGTCTTATGCTTTTTCAATGTTTAGTAGAAATGCAACATTACTCCATCAAGAACATGAAAAATAACTGGACAAAAAGTACAATTGATATATACAGTGCCTTGCGAAAGTATTCGGCCCCCTTGAACTTTTCAACCTTTTGCCACATTTCAGGCTTCAAACATAAAGATATAATTTTTTTATTTTATGTGAAGAATCACCAACAAGTGGGACACAATTGTGAAGTGGAACGAAATCTATTGGATTTTTGAAACTTTTTTAACT